CAACACTGAGGGTGCGATCCCGTTGCCGGTCAGTAAAAAAGACAAAAAGGAAAAAATATATATATATCTTGGGGGCTGGCCCCATGGTGCACTCAGGAGAGTGTGGCGCTGGGAGCACAGTGACGCTCCCGCCGCGGGTTCAGATCCTATATAGGAATGGCCGGTGCACTCACTGGCTGAGCGCAGTGCGGGCGACACCAAGCCAAGGGTTGTGATCCCCTTACTGGTCACGAAAAAGACGAAAAACATATATATATATATATATCTTGGAGGAGTTTTGAAAGTCAATAAGAAAAAGATAGCTCGAAGAAAAAATAGACCAAGGATATACAAAGATAAACCACAAAGGAGGAGATATAAATTTCCAATAAATATTTTACAACATGTTCAATCAGAATAAAAGAAATGAAAATAAAAACAATGATGAGGTGCTTATTAGTTTATTAAGTCTTAAGAAGATTTATCACGGCCAGTGTTGGCGTAGGCTTGGGAAGGGAGCCACTCTCATGCAAATGTACTTTAATACCTCCCTTCAAAGCCACTGTTGGTAACATACTATACATCAAAGTTGAAATGTGCACTCTGACCCAGCAGTGCCACTTACAGGAATATATAGTGGAGTGATCATCACACACAGAAAGACACATCCCTATGTTGTATGTAGGAGCAAAAACTTGAAAACAAACTGAAGGGTCATCACAGGGAATTGATTAATGGTATGTTACAGACTGAATGTTTGTGTCCCCACCCCCCGCAAATTCATATGTTGAAACCCTAACTCCAGTGTGATGGTACTAGGAGGTAGGGCCTTTGAAAGGTGATTAGAGTTAGATGAGGTCATGCTGGTAGATCCCCATGATGGGATTAGCACCCTTATAAGAAGAGGAAGAGACCAGATTTCTCTTCTTTCTCTCAGCCATGGGAGGATACAGCAAGAAGGCACCATCTGCAAACCATGAACCAAGCCCTCACCAGTCACCCACTCTGTCTGCACCTTGATCTTGGACATCTCAGCCTCTAGAACTGGGAGAAACAAATGTTGTTTAAGCCACCCAGCCTATGGTATTTTGTTACAGCAGCCCAGGAAGACTAAGACATAGATGTATATAATGAAATATTCCACAACCATTAAAATAATGATGAGGATTTTTATTTATAGGAAAAGGCATCTTTGACAGACTATTAAATGAAAAAATAGTCTCGAGCAGCACATGTAACATAATGTAATTTAGGTTGAAATGTGTGTAGGAGTGTGAGTCTTTCTGTACAGGAATAACAAAGTTTCTCAAAATATTAATGGTGAGATTTTTACATTTTCCTTATGAGTCTGTATTGTACAGTTTTTACAATGACTTTTAAGTAAAGTAATTTTTAAGTTTTACAAAAAGCCATTTTTATTGGGGCGTCAGGGAGGGATCAGGGAAGGTAGATGGACCCTGAAGCTTTTCTGGCAAAAAAACCCAAAACCATTCATTGTATTTCCCACACGACACTTCTCATGGAATAAACACTTGCCAGTTGCAATGGCCATATTTGGATACGTGAAGTGCACGCGTTCCCAAGGCTCCCCTTTCATTACACTGAGGACTGCTGTCCAGGCCCCAGGACAGGTGTAGAGAGGAAGCAGCTGCCCTCCCCTCCCCCATGTCCCTCCATGCAAATCTCCACCTTAAAGAGAAGTTATTCTGGGGCCTCTGTGGTTTTCAGAAAAAGGAAAAGGTGGGCTGGAGCTGGGGATGAAGCAAGGGGTTCACAGCTGAACTATGTGGCGCCGAAGACACTGCAGGGCCTCGGTTGTGCCCACTCTCCTCTGCCCAGCAAACCATCACTCCAGGACTCACTGAGGACAGCGACCACCTGCCAAACGAGCCTTTCCTTATTCACTGGCCACCCCATGCTGTGTGCTAGCCGTAATTATTAGGCATCCATAAATCTTTTTTTAACCCACGCTTTGGCAATCCCCTTCTTACACCTAAAAAACAGAAACAGAATTCCTGCCCAAAGGGTGGGAAGGCAACATATTTTTGAAACATTCTGCTTTGCTAAGAGTAGAGAGTGCATAAAGTGTCCTTCTAGCCCAATGATATAAAACACCCATTTTTTTCAAAATAGCCTCATACAAAAGTGGTCCACATAAACTCACATAGTAGGAGAGTCCATACGAACTTTATTTCTCAAAAGTCAAGAGACTTATGGACTCAAGCATAAACAGAAGCAACTTGTGGTTGTCTTCTAAGACAGTTCATTTTAGGTTATAACACCATGAACAGACTCTAAGACGGTCACTGGTGTGCAGGTCTCATGAATTATTGAATAGATCTTGGTAATCAATGCATTACTCATTCTTTCCTTCCTCTAAATGGAATCACTCTGAAATAAATCTGTTGTTGAAGCCACTTAAACAACTTTATTGCTGGGGACTTGGGGGTTTTAATGAGTTAAAGGTTCACGTCTCAGTTCCAAACCTAATAACGCATTGACCAAAGTACAACATTTGTGGAGGACAAAAGACAAGTCCCTTCCAGCCTGCAATGCACATGCTTCCCCTCAACTATAAAACAAGCACCACAATCAGCCTCAGTGCTTTGCACCACCTGCTCTAGTGTCTGTGGGGCCAGAATTAAGACTGATGGAATACTCAGATAAAAAGATTCTGCTAGAAATAAAGTTCACAATCACAGGAGTTTGACAAAGCTTTATTTTTAAATCTCACCTTAGAAGATTATTTGAAAATTAGCACAGCAGATGCCAATTCAATATCCCTTCTTCCCTAACTACTCAACAAAATATCTAGAAGACAAATTAAGGTGTTCAGATAACTTTCAAGGTATCATTTAATTATTTAGAAGCAGCACAGGGAATTGTGAAGAGCCTATTTGTCTCCTCAAAAGAAATGGCTGTTTACGCCCTTAGTGTGTGTGATCATTTGGTTTTTAATTGCTGGATGTCTACATGGTAAGACACAAGGGCATGGCTTTCTTCAAGCCCTTTGGGCTTCCTGGGCTTCTCAGCTTTCACAGATTGAACGCTTTAATCTGAACACACTCACAGATGGACACTAACCCTGCCCACCACCCTCAGCAACTGGCAGAGGATGAATGAACACGACCTTTCTGGAAAGCAGCTGGACAATGTATTTTGAGAATCTTACAAATGTTCATACCCTGTAATTCAGGAATTCTACCTCT